TCAGCGCTGCTCTACGAGAATCTTACACCCAGAGTCAGTGCATAGTAAATACGCACCTTGAGTAGTGTGTATGGAGTTGAGTAGTACTTTATGACTGGGTATATTTATCTATTATTATATGCAATTATACCTAAAGTGAGTATAAGCTCGTGCTCTCGGCAGGATATATTAGTACTTAAATAGTGGATTAACAAGCAACGTGGAGTTAGAATGGTATTCAGTACTCAATGAGACGATGTTCATACGAGATGAGAGACAGGGATTAAAGAGTTCTACGTTCATATGGAGCGTGCCTGTTCTGTGTTCCTCGCGATGCAAATATTTATATGTTCGCTCACACCGTCATCTCTGTCTAGTATGTAATCAACATAGATCTCGATTTGTTATAATGATATGTCTACGAGTATCCTTAGAGAGATCTTAGCGTTGCGAGATTTTTCTTTAACATTGCACTGAATTGGTTGTCTCAACATACTCTCTAGAGTGTTTGATGTGAGCATGGATTAGTATGTAAGGTTACGTTTATACTCGTTTCATTATATACTCGCGACTCGTGCAGCGAGCTGTACGTATGCAGGGAGAATTCGCTGAATTACCCTATCATCAGTCTTATATGACTCGCGGATGATCAGTCAAATTGCGATGCTATGTTCATTTTCCGGTTTGCTACGTGATATGGACCAAATCTAAATTATATCTCAATACATCTGAGTGTAGATGGCATGAGCTATACTCATGTGATGATCGGAGATTCTCTCACTTCGGCTGTCAGAGTTGATGATAATGGCCGAATCGGACTAACCACACATAGTACAGTCACTCCACGATAGTACATGGAAGGGACCCTAGCGCGAGATTTACTTGCATTACTAGCGTATAGAGAGAACATAATAACCGGCCTGTTTTCACTAGGATTACGCTGCTTGCTACACTGTCTATGGATGCTATGAGAGAATTAAATTTGATAGGCTTCTTCCTAAATGCGCGAATAAAGATGCCCATTTATGAAAATCAGTGAAGATATAGTTTTCTTGTACTCAGAACTACATACTCTATAACCTCTGATTCCCACCCAGTGTGCCGCCACTGAGTTCAGCACAGGACCACGTAGTCGCCCTTGCTTAGCAAAGTTGACAGTTACTGTGATAGTTGAGACAATGTGGCGCTGTCCTCGAGACAGTGCTAAAGACTGATCATGATATGATTGAGCCTAAACTGGAAGTGAAAACGTGCCCGTATGCCGACAATGAGTATGCTAAACGATCTGGTTACATCATAGACATCGTTCTCTTCTGATTTGCATGTAGCCTCTATACATGACTGATCGTTAGTGACTGCTCTCGTGTCTCTTGTGTGGTAATGTGAGTGCATGGAAGAATGCAGAGACAGTGTACGACTTAAGAGTAATCTCTAACATATCTCTGACATCATCTGAATCTTATTGCTGATGGCTGCAATCAGTTGCTATACAGAGAAATGTGGTGTGTATCGACGATAGAATAGATCAATTCGTTATGTTTCTCGATATAATAATTCGAAAATCAGATGTACGCGAGTTTCGCGTCGGTCAGAGCGAACCGACCATATCAGCAATCCCATACTTCGTAGTTTGATAATTCCTAGCATGGGTAATATTAATCATTGATATAATCCATTTCCACGAATGTATTCATTTACTCCTTTCATCTCTCTCTACGACTGACTTGCTCTCACAGAACTGAAGAATAACGTCTTTACAAAAGGTGTATTAGCGATTACAGAATGTTTCTATCTTACTATATCAGTAGAGCGAGTGATAGTAGTCTAGACTTGTTTTGTTCATCATCGTTAGGCTATGTCTATGCATTTGATTATTGATTACTATTACAGTCTAGATATTCATTTCCTATTCATGTAGTCTATGTGCCATCATAACGTAATTCATCAACATCGTACTCTCAGCGTGCCATTTGATATTCATCATGCTTATCATCCTCGTCGTTCGAGCTTGCTTTTACACTCGTACAGTCTCTCCTCGCTACATCTCAGAACCATCAATACCATGACGCGAGCTCTCTAGCGAACTCCCATAATTAGCAGAAATGCATCAATTCAATGCTTAGCACAGCAGAGTAAGTCGCAGAGTTTATTCATCTACCAATATGCTCAAATAATAAGCCCTATAAAGATACATTTACGTCATAGGTAATCGTCATAACAGCAATAGCAATCGATAGAGATCATCTTCGTCTACCACATTCTTACACGGTAGAAATCAAGCAGCACAGGCCTAAACGGTAAACTCTAGATTGACACGCGGATCTATCTACTACTGACGCTCGCAGGAACAATCATGACAATTTTTAATTATTGCTTAATGCGTGTTAATCATCAATTACTTTTACTGAACTTCATCCCTCTTCCACCCATGAACAAGACAGCAGCTAAGTTAGACAACGCTTTTGCAAGTGTGACAATCTGATGGGAGCAATACTCACATCGTCTGGATAGCAGGCCGTCAGACATAAGTACTTACAACTACATCTATTCCATACTCTTGGTCGCGAAGTACGTGGCAGTCTGTGCTTTTACTTGGTTACATGTCTCTCTCATTAGAATCTGTTTCAGCCCATACGGACATTCATACTCAGTCAGATTTTTGAAATTTACTACACGTGATAAGTGTTGTCTTGTCATAATGTCTATATTTATTCTAGAGACTTAATGAATTTTCTGACCCCAAGATTAGCGAACAGTCGCTATTGTTATATTAATCTTGATTATTTAATCGTTTATTATTTTTTCATGCTATTAATCTACTCATCATCATAAGTACCTTCTATTTATTCTGTTCGACGCGGCATCCTCCACAACACACACCAGCATCCCTATGTCTCGAATGAAATCACAAACCGGCTTATAATAATTATTATATAATTGATCGTTTGAATGCTCAAATTTTCCTAATACCGAGACGCAGCGAATAAGAACACGCCCATAGCAATTACTAACACGTACAGTCGCTATGCGTAGAGCTCTCTACGTAACTCCTGTGTAAGACGAGACCTAATCGGAAGCCAAATCGTAGCGCCATCCATACTCTCTGATGTATTCAGCTATGCCTATAACTCCGATCTAGATTGTAGGATTTATAGTTCGATGAGAAGAATCTATATCTATAGTATATATATAATTTAGAGTGTATAAGATTTTTATGAATATATATAATTTATATATTATATTGCATTCTCTATCATATTTGGTGCAGCACTCGATCGACAGATGATATAGCTCTTATCTCTCTTTCTTCTTTTCTTTTAGTCTTTGATGTGTTCACTATACGTGTAGCTGATTGCAATTATAGGCTCAATCTAGAATTTCTCTCTGTTGTTGTACTACACGCTGAAGGAAATGGTATAATTCAATTTCAAGGAATTGGATATTATCTACGGGCACATATTAAGGTACTCATCAATTGAAGTGTACAGTACGTAATTAGTTTGTATCACTCTTATACTCGAGCTCGCTGTGTCAGAGAGTGACGAGTTGATATCGTTTCGGTATCTGAGTATTGATGCTGTGTTTTCAGAGGGTAGTCAGAATTAATGATATATATGTATAAAGATTTATCAGGCAGACTAATTATTGTCGTTTGTTACTTTCGAGATGTATTATTGTTGCTGTTTTTTATATTATATTTTTTTTTATTTTTATTTATTTTCTATTATTAATATAATTATTAAAAGAGTTGGCAGATAATATCACTTACCAAATGCTTAGGGAAGGTAACTCTTAATTTTGCTGTGTACAAGTTACAAAGTTGATTTGTGAAGTACTATTCAGACAACAACTCTGACAATCACATGCTGAGTTGCAGCGGGAAATATGACAGGATATAAAATGTTTGTTTGTTGATGAAATAATCAATGTAAAGCATATATATTTTCTTTAGGGATAGTTCTAATTATATCTCTAGTTCACATATTTATGGTGTATACTCCTTATTCCTTTTCTGTAACTTTCCTTATTGTTAACATTTCCCACTCTCGCAAACAGCGTAAACTGGAAGGGTCCGCAATCATCATTCAAGTTCCAAGTGGTCCCCCCTCGAGCATCCCCCAAGCACCGCGGAGAATACGCTTCTTCAATGCGCAGCTCCACCACATGGCCAAGACTGTTCCTGTCATGATTACACCAGGTAAGACATGTTTAAGGGTTTTATGTGGGCTTCTACAGACGTGTGCGAAAGGGTGTAGGCATATAATTTTGTATTTATTCCTGTGAAGTGTATGTTTGCTATGGTGTTGTGGGCTCTTATTTATCCTGTTTTTCTTTAATTAAGATATATTGGTAATGTATATGCAGAGAAATAAGATAAATAGGATAATTGTGTAAATATTTTACCTGGCCATATCACCCAGGTCCAGTGGGTTAAGGATTCATGCAGTAGCAACAGTATAGATGGCTTGACTGTTTTCAAGTCATTCTCATTCTAGTATTTTATTGTGTGCAGAGCAGTGTATAACAATTTGGGAAGCAAGCCCATTTCTTCAAATAATGAAATTCCACATTCCAGAGAGCAATGATGCAAGTACTGTTCTGGAGCAAATACTGTCTGAAGTGCGAGCACGGGTGGTGGAGTGCAAGAGCCAATACCCCAACAGTCCCATCGTGCTGCTGGGCTGGGGCATCGGGGCTGTCATTGCGTGCCATGTGAGTATACACAGGCTTTTGTATTTTTAAAGTGAAAGTTATTTTGTGTAAATTTTTTTGCTCTTTTTTGCCATCTCCAATGTCCATATTTATCTTTTGTTTTGCTTTATCCAGATGGTAATAGCTTATTTTCCTTGCACAGACTCCATCTCTCTATTTAGTAAATAACAGTGCAAGGGAAAAAAAGAAAAGAAAAAAAAAAGGAACTTTTGGTTATTTGTGTCATATATTTTATTTTGTTCGTAATTTTAAATTTTCTATAATATAACCTGTGCCGCTGGTCACAGCGATCAGGAATATGGTGTGCAGCATGGAAATGGTGTTGTCCATGGAGCCAGCACTCTTCCATGCACATTATGCTTATGCACATTACATTCCACATTTGTTTATCAATGGGAATAATGCTTTTAAGCGCAAAATGAGTCAAATCACACTCCCAAGAGATTTATGCACTAGTGGCAAGTCCTCTGTGTCACCCTGGCCTTCGCTCATGATGACAAGCTCACGTTGCCTGGCACTCGACCCAGATTTTTCCATAATGGGACCGTAACTTCATCCTTATCATACGGGTTAATTATTAGTGATATCATCACATTGATGTCACCTGTTTTTTTTTATTTTGAGAAAAAGTTCTATTTCTTTTACTATTATCATCTTTTAACAATATAATTACTATTATTGTTATAATGTTAGTAACAATACTATTAGTTTTATGAATTACAAACTTCTTTCCTCATAACTCAAGGAATGGGATAAATAGTGAGACTAGGAAGGCTTTTAATACTCAAGTGTTTGTGTAGCAATGAACTGTTGGAACAAAATTAATAAAACCATAGTGGAGCATGTATATGTCCACTCCTGGAACTAATGGGACTATTTGATCTCAATTCAACAGGTGTCCATGCTAGAGATGGTGACGGCAAACATTTGCCTAGGGTTTCCAGTGACAGGTGCGACAGGCAAGCGAGGGGAAGCAGATGACCCATTGCTGGACATCCGTACCCCAACCCTCTTCATCATAGGAGAGAAGGCATCAAATGTCAGGTAGGTTTTAGGGAGCTTGATTATAATGAGCAACTGTTATTTTGAGTTTGGATTGATCTTCTTCTTTTTTTTTTCTTCTTTTTTCTTTTCTTTCTTGTCTCCTTATTCCTTGAATAAGGGCCAGTAAGGCATGGCTGACAGCAAGAAACTGCAGAGCTCTGAAAAGTGGTATCACTGGCTGTATCCAAGGGTAATGATGAATTTCATTTTCATCTGCCCTCTTTTATACATGTATGACCTGTAAGTTTCGATTATATCTTCGTCAGAAATACATGTATTTCTGACGAAGATATACATCTAATAATATGGTCCTATATATATATATATATATATATATATATATATATATATATATATATATATATATATATATATATATATATATATATATATATATATATATATATATATATATATATATATATATATATATATATATATATATATATATATATATATATATAATATATATATATATATATATATATATATATATATATATATATATATATACAAATTTGTAGGAGATATCTTGTACTCTTAATTCTGCCATATATTGCATCATACATGGGATGCATATTACGTAATTACACTGTAAACGAACATATTACCAGGAGGTCTTGAGGCCAAGCACAAAGCAGGAGGACTTATACACAATTTTTATTCAAAATTTTCATATGAATTTCACAATTTCATTGTGAATTTCTGAAATGTTTTCTTCTATGATGTCGAAACATTCTTTGGACATTCACAACTAATATCAATATGTATAGTCATTTGTTTGGAACAAACAAATCTAGAAATTAGTTGTCTCAGACAGCAGTTTACTTGACAGCGTGGATGACATGGAGGACATTCGCATGCGTCTGCGTGTGGAGACGGGGCTGGTAGTTGTAGGGGGAGCTGACTCACACCTGCGCCTCTCGTGCCAGAAGCGGCACATGGAAGGCGTCACACAGTCTATGGTGGACAGGTGTATTGTTGTAAGTATTTACAATCTTTTCTATTGTATCAATGATTATTTCAAGCTTTGTAAAGTTGATTTGTGTAGAAATAATTTATGGTTGTCAGGGAGGTAAATCTCCAGTAATACTTAGTTTGCTTGACTACATCATGCCCTAAAAAGGACACAAGTATTTATATCAAAATCTGATGGTGTCACTTGTTGAACACACTTATGAGGGGAGATAGAATTCATAAAGTTTAACCAAATGACTGACAAGTCAATAATGTCTTGAAGTCATATGCAGTACACAGACAAGATCAGGTAATGAGGAACTCTGGCTTACCACCAGTACACCTTGCACAGAGAGGTTATGTCCAAGGGGTTAATTATTTAAAAATTTATGAACAGGTGAATCAGTTGCAATTCTTTATTTCAATCTCATAGTCACTTGAGTATATGTGTGGAACTGGGAAATCAGTCTTGTTAAGATCATGCATTTTTCCCCAGGATGAAATTGGTGACTTCCTTTCACACCTGCTGAGTGAGAGCAGTGGCAGCTCATCCTCAGTTTACAGCCCTTGCCCCTCCCACAGCCACCATGTGACTTCATCCACTGTCTACCCACACTCCTCTGTTACCTCCTCCTTCACCAACCCCCTCCCTCCCAAGTCCCAACGCAAGGAAGGCACTCGCAAAAGGAAGACATCCACAGGCAGTTCCCTGGATGGCTCTGCACCTCCTTCCCCTGCTAAGATATCCAGACCAAGTGAGTGGAGTAGGTGTAGGGTAGAAAAATCCTGCTGGAAGGGGTTGCTGGTAGGATGGTTTTATGAATTGTTTATTTGTGTAAGGGGATGCTTGATATGAATAACATACAGATTTGCAATGTTTATAAATTGTGTTTGGGTAGTTGTAAGAAGAGACAAGATTAAATTCAAAACAAAGTACTATGAATAATTTTGTCCAGCTTACTGTACCAGTGCATATAAACATGAAAAGAGCAAGTTCTCGAGAATGGACTTATCCAGGTAACTCACTAATCAACCTATTTTCTTTCAGGCACACCCATCAGCCTGATGGGAGGTAGCCTTAAGATTCCAGTGGGCGTTTCAGCTCTTTCATCACCGGGCCTCACATACAGCAGTGGTGACTCATCCCACACAACTCCGAGCACCTCTCCCTACCACCCCTCAGCGAGCCATACCCCCCACAGTGATGGTTCCTCAGCCTCCAACCCTGGAACGCCCCGAACCACAGGTGGTAAATACAAGTTGACAAGTCGCTCTTTGATGGGGAAAAGACGACCGCTGCCGTGCCCGAAAAGTGCCATCCGTAAAAAAGGTTGTAGGACTCCCTGACAGGCTTTGGGAAAGGGAATCAAATTGGGCTTTTTGTTAAGGATAAGGACTTAATTTATTTATCTTCAGAATCATTATTTATAATGTGTACAAAATGTAAAGTACTTTCTTTGGTGTGTTTACACCGCGGATTGTACATGCAGGCAGTGCCGTATACATTTGGTTTGGTTACAAGGCAAGAGGAAAGAGCTTTGAACTGATAGGGACCCTCTCCTTTTTTGTTCATGTATTAGTATTGATTCATTTCTCCCCATTCTTTTGTTTAGGTGATATTGCTCGTAAACATTTTATTCAGATGTAAAGGGGAAAAAAAAATATATAATTTTTGATGATAAGTTTTCATTTTTAACCCACTTATGACGGATGTCCTACATATGTGACAACCGGAAAAATAAACATTGCCAGGTGTCCTGCTGGTGTGACACTGGATCAGAGCTTGTGCTCTAATTCGGTCGCAGGCCACAGCTGGCGTGTAATCAGATTCTGGGCCAGCCCCGCGTTCCGATTTTGAAGCCGCCCAGAAACCATTATTTTTGGCTTCAAAATATACCGTTGCTAGTGGGTTAACAGAGGAAAACAAGTCATGCCACATTTTATTCAGAAATACTGTGGTTTGGACTTTCCACTCTGTTTTATCAGCTATTCATGTTTTAAAAAATTCAAATATTTTTCATTTTTATAAGATAAAAATATGCTTGTGTGTCATATTTTCTGTTTTTTTTTATGGAAGATATGAGGAAAAAATTGTATACAGAATGAACAAAGTCAATATTTATCAGTGATAATAAGAGCAACATTTCATCTTCAACAGTCATAAATTACAATTTGAGGAAAGGTTTGAAGGAAGGGAAATGAAATGAGAAAAAAGATGTTTGCATGTCAGTGTATGCATGTATCTCTCTCTCTCTTTCTTTCTGTTTTTCCATCTTTTTTCCTTTGTTTCTTTCTTTTTTTATTTTAGATTGACCTTCTCTGCGAAGTTGTGATTTCTGTTTCTTCCTTGTTTTTCTTCTTTTTTTTCACATTTTCTTACTCTTTCTGATTTGTTTTCTCTTCTCTTCCCTTCTTTTTCTTTTCTTATTTTATTTTTTTGCTTTTCTTTTCTTTTCTTTTCTTTTTTTCTTTTCTTTTCTTTTCTTTTCTTTTCTTTCTTTTCTTTCTTTTTTTTCTTTTCTTTTCTTTTCCTTTTTCTTTTTTCTTCTTTTTTTCTTTTCTTTTCTTTTCTTCTTTTTTCTTTTCTTTTCATTCCTTTTCATTTCTTTTTTCATTTTTTTCTTCTCCCTCTTGTCTTTCTCCTTTTCTTCCTCTTCGTTCCTTTTCCTTTCCTTCAAAAAGTTGTTTGTACTTGTCCATTCCACTTTTTTCAGTTTTGATTTGGTACAAGTGTAGCTATGGAAGATTCTGCATTTTCCAATTGATGAAAAAATTACATATTTACAAATACGCAGAAATAAAAATAAAAGATAAAAACAAGTACATCATAACCATGTTTTTTTTCTGAAATAAAGAAAATGCAAATATCTCAAACATTCTTAACATTCAAAATATATAAATAGAGAGGGTCCCTTGACACTAGAATATATTTTACCACTTAAAGTACCTGGTAGATTCTAATTTTTTTACCTTTATTGGACATATTTTTTATAATATTTCATACAGAAGGACTATTTATATATTTATTTGTCAATCTAGAGAATAATTTTTGTTGTATAGTGTTAAGTCATAAAATATATTTTGAAAATTAGAAAGATCTCAGTTGTGCTGTCTGTCTTTTCAAAAAAGACTTCCACAAAATATTTGCTGTGTAGATGAGAATTACTTCTAAGGATATAGAATTTAGAATTGCCTATATGTTTACCAAGAGTGATGATACTGAATTGTAAAGGGAAAAAAAGTACTGTTTACAGAAATTGGCATTACACCTTTGTATGTGAAATGGTTTCTACTTATGATATTGTTGATATATTCCTTGATATAGAAATTGCTCGTATCAGACTAGTCTTTAACAACTGCCTGCGTCAGAAGTTTAATCTTAAATACTTGGTGGTTGGGGTTGTTTTGGCAGAGAAAATAAAAGAAACCTTGTGTCTAAGGCTTCAAAGTTATTTCTTGTTTGCTTGCTCCAGTTTATTTTAAGTTTGTCATAAGAAGGTTCAGTGGTTGACTTGGGTAAGGTAATGGAAATGGAAAGAGGAGTGTTAGTTGGTTTTGGAATGGTTAGTTGTGTTAGTTTTGCATCTTTGTTGAATAAACACAAATTATTTGTTGGAAATATATAAGGGCAGGTACACAGCTTTCTGGATGAATTGATGAAGCTTGATTTGCACTTGGAGTGTGGAAGCAAGAATACAAAAAAAAAAAAAAATCTTATGGTCGAGTTGCATCTTATTTAGAGAATTGTGAATGCTGGCTGTAAACATGCAAGGCATTAATAGTCATTAGCTGTGGTTAACCGTATGGGCTTGGATGGCATGACAAACATGCAATCTTCATGCTTATTTTCATTTATTGTGTTTACAAATAGATAGCTCCACAAATACTTAGTTAGCAAGCAGTCAACTGCTAGTCCTGCCTATCTCACCCATTTGCCAATAACAGTTTTATTAATAGCATTAGAAAAAAAATCCTGAAAATTCAAGGAATAGGTGAATTAGGTGAGGTGACATTGAGCCTACTAATTGACTCCTTGGTAGCTGAACAGTTGTGGAGCCATCTGTGTAAAATAACATTCCCAAAAACTACAGTGGACAGTTAAAGTACTCACTTATGGTTATAGTTGATCATGCAGTTTGTCAATTAGGGTCTCAGACACATAAATGTGAGATTGAATGGCTTCAGAAAGGTGAAAACTAGTCAGGGTCTTCAGAAAATGGCCCAATGGCTGTTATTCAAATGGAGGGGCACATGACTTAGTTACTTGCAGATGGTGAAGAAATGTTCAAAAACACCATCATTGATTAAAGGAAATATCACTTTCTTGTAGCTTACTATTTGAGGCATTTTTAGATTGGATAGCAGTTTGGTGTTTGTTGTGGCTGATTGGCTGGTAGTTTTATATATCACAATGCCTGATTATCTGGCAGTTTAGGTATCACAGCAGATGACTGGCTGGCAGTACGAGATACCACTATTGCTGATAGGCTGTTTAGGCATCGCTGTTATTGGTTTGCTGGCAATTTAAGACACAGCAGCTCATTGGCTGGCAGTTTAGGGTATTAGAGATGCTGATTGGTTGGCATTTTAAGGTATTTCACCGTTTATTGGCTAATAGTCTCAGTGGTTTTGTGACTGGCTGTCCTCAAATTTGGAATGTTCATTTACAGGATTGATTTTTGCTAGTTTATTCAGGTTTATTGTGAAAAGATTATGGAAACTGATTTGAAGAATGAACCTTGTCTTTTTTTTTATTAAAGAAAAAATATATTGATAGCTAATTAGAATCTACAGTGAGTTCAGTGGATATTTTCAGTCATTATGTTCCTTTCATGTTAACTGTCTCAAACATACATGAAAAAATTGAGAAGTTTATTGAATTTTGTACCTCTTAAAACAGCTCTTATTATATGAAAAAAATATTGTACCAAATATTAATAATAGATCCTATATTGATTTGTTTAAAGGTTCAGACTAGATTTTTTTGACAAAACAGTAATATAATAAGATTTGATAAACAAGAGTGAAAAGGTTTAACCAGTCATGCATGCAGGGCAGTTGAGCCATTATATAATGTGAATGGTTATATTGTACTAAAAGGAGAAGTGACTGAAATTTGAGTAATGAATATAAATGTATGAAGAAGCCCAAGTAAAGGCAAACAGACAGAGGATGCTTTTAACATTGTCCTTTCTTTTCAACAAGTTATTATTCATTGTGAATCATGAAATGAGTACAAGGAAACATTATTATACAAATGGCCTTCTTACTTTACTGCTTCACTTCTGTTCACCCAATTGGAGAAGCCTTCAGCATAGTCATAGGTTTCCTCACTTCTGAACATTCCAAATGTAAAGCATTTGCTGCTTTCAGACATGTACAATTTTTCATTCAATTTTTGTTTGATTAACGGATACCTTTTTTTTTACTTTTTTTTTCTCTCTTTCTTTTTTCATGTGCAGGAGCATCACAAAATATATCCAGCAGCAACAGCAACTCCCTCAAGCGCAAATATACACGCAAGTTGGAGTCCCGCCGTCAGCCAAAGATGAAGAGTTTGACCCCAGAGCTGTCCTCTCTCTCGTCCTCATCCTCTGCTTCTTCTTCTGCGTCTGCATTTTCCATAGCCGCTTCAGGAGATGCTTCTGTTTCATCAGGCACACTGGATGACACCTCTCCAACTATAGCTAGGGTAGGCACTGATAAACTTTATGGACTGTCACTGTAAGTCTGCTTTTTTTTCTGTAATTTTTATTCAGAATATTATCCATTTTACTACAAGGTCAAAGGTTTCAGTGTTGCTGTGGCTGTCAACTTTTTACTTATTTATTTTTTTTTTTTTTTTTCACCCTTCCTTCCCTTCTCCCTTCTCCTTTCTTTTATACTGAGAGTACCTGAAACAAAATAAAGATTTTAATGTCTGCCCTTTTTCTGCAGTTGTTAGCAGTAATGCATTAAAAAAGGGGCTGTAATATAGCCTGGCATCAGCTTCCAAAATAAACTCAGCCATAGCTAAATAAAGAATCTCCTTTAGCACATAATGAGACATCTAGTGTAACCTTTGATCTGTAGTATTTTTTTGTGTAGCATAATCTGTTTGATGTGGCTTGTGATTTATTATTTTCTCCTGCTATTTTTCAATATCAAAATTCTTCTCCCTTTTGTTTGATATTTTAAATAGACACTGTACTTAACTACTTTACCTAGTTGCAAGTCTTGCTGTAGGATCTCAGGTGCATCACCACTAGCTGTTTTTTCGTATTCATTAATTTTGATTTTTAGAGCTTCTGATACACACTTTCAATTTTTTATGTATTCTGTGTATTCTTGTTCTTTATTATATTTATATCATACATATATTGAATAGGACAGATGTGGAGTTGTGCATTTTTCAACCCTCCAGATGTGTTGTTGCTCTTCTATGTCAATGTATTAATTTTTATAGCACTTGATAGTTAAAGGTTGTGTTTAATATTTTGGGCATAGGGGGAAAATATTTTGTCAAAATAATTTAGGCTTCAGAAGGGAGTCAGATTGCAGTGACACCAGATTAGGATTTTAACCCAATATTGACAGTTTGCATCTATTCTTGTCATAATGAGATGAGCCCAAATGCCAGATCGCAAGGACATGAGCCATAAACAGTCAGCTTGCCCCAAGATGTGCACCTGAAACTTGTTTGGCTCTGTGGCATGAGCTGTTCAGCTGCCACAGCCCCCTTACAAACCCTTGGTTGGACCGATTCTAGTTACGTCCCAAAAACCGTATATGCACACCAGCCAAAGACTAGCTCCTCACACGATACAGGATTTCTCAAATTCTTTCTAGCTCTCAGTGTTGATCCTGACTGCGCCCCATGCAAGTCTGCCACTCGCTCTCGAGGCTGCAAACGATCTCTGCGATACCTAAGGCATATATGACATATCACCTACTAGAGTATACAACACCACTGCGCACGTACCAGTACAGATAGCTGAATACCTGTCCTAAATGCGCCCGTCTCGAATGCACAGATGTATCTCACTCCTATGTGTGTATGCATCAGTGTCTCTATGCAGTGTTTAAATCTCTAACATTTTCCTGTAACAACGCCGCATATAACAGTACAGGCGAGGGAGATTGTGCCGAAATATTAGATCAGCATATATAAAAAACATGTAAGTGCTATAAAAGATAGATGTACCTTCCAAGAGGAACATAAACACAATACTAATTCTTGATAGTATCTCTCAGAAAGTATGCTCATAATTAAATCTCTTTCATGTTCAAACTTACAGTTAACTCCTAGTATAGAGCTATAATTATTTTTACTTTCTGCAATGAATGCCAATGAATAATGCCCCATGTTTGCTTCTGATCATATAATATACTAACACACATCATAACATCTATACACACACATATATTTAGACATACAAGCACACACACGCTACTGCTCACCGCACCACACATCATACACTCACACACACACACACACACCACACACACTCACACACACACACACCCCAAAAACACACAACACCACAGCACAATCACACTACACATCAACAACACATCACTATCACACACATCCACCTCACACACCACACACACGACCTGCCACGTCAAGATAACTAATATTGCACATATTAATGTGCGTATGAATTGCAGCTTTTGTACTGTATCACACATTGTTCTCACGTTCTTAAATGATACTCACGAATAAATAACGTCAAATATTATTCCAGTAGATAATATTGCACATCTTATTCTGGTGTA